ACAAGTCAACTCAAGCTTCATTCAAGACAAAAGCATCAATTATGGATTTCAAGTTCATGCTACATTAAATGAGGCGTTACAAAACTCTTGGTTTGATGATTTAATCTTTATTTTCAGATTTATGGTGTAATTTTAAGTATTTTAAGTTTTAAGACTTTCCATTTACTTTTTAGTTTACATTTAGTTAATGGTTGTTTATGGCATTGATGGAGTTGAGTGTTCCAACCCTTCACATGCCTATATGTTACTTTAAGGACTATTTTGAAGGCTATATATAGCCATGTATGTCAGCTTTGAAATGATAGAATATAGATTTGAAGATGTAATGAAATGAGTCTTTGAGCCTTTCTTTTAGCCAATAGCTAATGTATTTTGCAATCTAGTGATAGTTTGCATGTTTAGGATCATTCAAGTGAGACTTGATCTATCTTGCTTGTTGGAGTGATTCGGATCTCAAACAATGAGCGAGTTTTCTTGCCTTGAGATATTTGATCATCAAGGTAATCCGGTTTTTACTTTCCTTGGGTTGATTCCTTAGTCGGTTTCGGGGTTTTTGGGATTGTGTTCTATGGGTCTTGTTCGTTAACAAGGTTCTTAGATCCAACTCTCAAGGGTTTCTTAACATCTTGTGTTTTCATTTCTTTCATTTCCATGAGTAGCTAAATTGTTTATTCAACCCTCCTACGAATGTTTTAGTTCTTCTATTTTAAATTACATTTATCAGTGAGCACGACGTTTTACGCTCTCTTTGCTTATCTTGATTGATATAATTATTCTAGTTGATTTTCTTGTTGGTCATTTGTTTAAATCACATTAGTTTGAATTTAATTCTAAAAAGGTTAAAAGTCAAATGGATTTTATCAAGGTAAAACGGGAAGTTACTTAGAAATAAGAACTAAAACAAAATCCTAGACATAGGCTCTCTTACCCGTTAAAAGTAAGTTGAGATTTGATTTATTTAGAATTCTAGAGTTGCATAGATATATGTAAACACTAGTCTAAGCTTCTAAACAAACCAAATGAGGTATAGAATAGGAGTTGAACCAGTTTGCAGAAATTGAACTTAATTACGGGCACACTTGATAGGTGTAAATGCATCTTTTAGAACTAAATCTTAGTAGGAGGTTGGCTTTTTGATCTTTGTGTTTTTAAATTGTGTTTCCCAACATATTCACCAAATTTTTATCCCAAACCCGATTGCTCATTTAAGCAGTTTACAAATTCATTTTTAAAAGAAAACTAGCCCCTGTGAAGACGAACTTGGAATATTTCCATATTATTACATGTGACAGTCTACATTTTGTAGCAGAAATTGCTTACCGCAAGTGTACGGGTCAAGCTTTAATAAAGTGGTAAGTCAATACCGATATCGTCCTCTAGATTGAGTTTCTAGATCACTTAAGTACCACAGATACAATCACTCAATTTTATTCAAAGAATCAAAATCAAATTGGAGAATATAATCAAAGAAAATAAACATGCAATAACAAAGATAAAAACAATGGGGAGAAAGGTCCTAGGGAATTGATTTCACCTATTGAATCTATGAACCAACTACTTAATTAATCAAAGATTGAACGAATTATTAATTCTATAGGCCAAGAACTCTCAAATCTCAACTGCCTCTCCCGACGCAAGCTAATTCTCCTTACCAATTATGAAACCAATATCTCTATCTAGTTTTTAGAACAAGTAAAGGCTTTATTGAACAAGTCTTTTAACGACCTCTAAAAAACTTCTAAATCTCCCGATCTTAAAACCCCTTTAGTTATGCATCACAGTTCTAACTCTAAATCATTTCTCCGAGCGTAAGATTTCAAGTCTAAAATCAATCAATCTATGGCCAGTAGATTCAAGRCGTTAAGCATAGAGAAGCATAAGTAGAACATTCATAAACATTCAATCAAGAAAACTAAACAATCAATGCATAAAGTTTAATGGCTACATCAATCCCTAAGATAAGAGATTTAGCTTCTCATATTCAATGGAAAACAATAAAATCACAATGAGAAGTCCATAACAAAACTAGAAAAACCAAGGGAAAGGAGAAGAAACTATGTTCCGCGTGTCAATCGTTCGTTCCCGAAGCAACCTCCACGATCCCGAGCCTTGAAATTCACTTTTCTAAGCTCTGATCTCCAATGGTCTCATTGCCCTCCAAATTGACCAAAAATGCAAACTGCCAAAAAACCTCTTCCAAACTCCAATTCTCCAATGTGAGAATCCCCAAAAATCCTAAAAAACGACGCATTCATATTTTACTCATGTAAGGCCATCGCTACAGCGCTATGGCGCCATTAGTGAGCACCATGGCACTGTCCCAAAATTGTGATAGACTAGCAAGTTCGTAGCGCCGTGGCGCTACAAGACATCGTTGCGGCGCTGTCATCACGGAAAGAGGCCCAAGCTTTGTCTGCAGGCGCCATGACGCTGTGTACTGGCGCTGTGGCTCTGCTTCTTCGGAAATTTGCTCTCAATTCTGATCTGCAGGTGCCATGGCACTACATGATGGCGCTGCGACGCTGATGTGGCTGAATTAAGCTCCTCTTTTTCACTCTAGCTTTCCTCTCAATTGATTGCTTATGCTCCAATTCTTTCTAATGGCTTGATCCTATAAAAACATCAGCTATGCATGTAAATAAGCCATAAATGACCGGAAATTGTTAAATAATTTCCACCTGAATATCATGAAATGTGGTGTATAAAGTACACTATCACACTTGCACTTACCCTCATGCTATCAAGCAGAGGTGCAACATCAATCCCTAAGATAAGAGGTTTAACTACTCACATCCAATGTAAAACAATAAAATCTCAATGAGAGTTCCATAACAAAACTAGAAAAATCAAGGGAAAGGAGAAGAAACTATGTTCGACGTTTGTCCGTCCCCTTCCAAACTCCTCCATCTCGACGGCTGCACAACCCTATTTTTATAAAAAGTTGTCGCGGTAGTGTCATGGCACTACACACAGAGCCATGGCGCTACGCTATTCACAAAACGCGAAATTTAAACTTCGGAGCACCGTGGCGCTATCTTCTCGGGTTTTTGGCTTCAAATATTGTTGTTATTCCATCTTGGTCACTTTGATTATGATTTTTCTCTCATTTTGATACAAATATGTCTCGTTTCCTCCCGATACTTTATTCCTGCAAATATACTTATGTGCTTAAATTTGTCATGAAGAAACAAAAACTAACAAATAATTTCAATATAAATCTCATGAAATGTAGCTCACAAAGTGTGCTATCAGTACTGTCACTCGAATGAGTTCTTGGAAGCTGAGGTGGGGTGGAATCCGTCATTCATTTGGCGCAGTCTTGTTTGGGGGCAAAATCTTTTGTAAGAAGGCGCTCGGTGGCGGATCAGAAATGGGGACAGTGTGAGAATCTATGGTGATAAGTGGATCCCTAATCAACCCCTTTTAAAAAAAAAATCTGCCCCTCGGCTCCATGTAAGTTCTAGGGTCAGTTGTCTAATTGATCCTGAGACGGCTCAATGGCGTAGGAATTTGATTCTGGAATCGTTCGCTCCAGGTGAAGCGAAGAGCATTCTGTCTATTCTGATTGGAAGGGATAGGGTGAAGATAGGCTTATTTGGCACCATGAGAAAACTGGTATATATACTGCCAAGAGTGGCTATAGAAGGGCTCTGATGCAGCAACCTTGTTATGAAGCTTCGGCATCAGATATGGATAGTATGATGGCTTGGTGGAAAAAATTATGGCAGTTGAAGCCTTCCAAGCAAAATTAAGATATTTTTTTGGCGGCTTTGTCTTGATAGGTTGCCAACGGGAGAAAATCTTACAAAAAGGGGGGTGGATGTCCCTAATTGCTGTTATTTCTGTGGAAGGAAAGGAGAAGATGCTTTTCATTTGGGCGTGCAAGCACTCAAAGAAAAGGTGGGCTACATCTAAATTTGCTAATCTTGCAGATAGGATGAGCTATTACAATAATGTCCGTCTCTTGCTTCGGGATTGGCATGATCATTTGGATGAAGTGGATTTTGAAGATCTAGTCGTTTTTCTTTGGGGGATTTGGTTTTAGAGAAATTTGATGGCTTTTGGTCCAAATAGAGAATCAGGGAAGGAGGATTTAGTTGATCTCAACGAATGGACAGAAGCTTATCTATCAGTTTACAGAGCAGCAAATTCAAACCCCTCCCTCCCCTGAGGACTTTTCGAATGAAGTCAATGAAAATCAGAGTACTAATTGGACTCCTCCTGATGCTGGGGTTTTCAAAATCAACACTAATATGCATCTTTTTCCCTATCAATCTAAATGCTGGGTTAGGAATTGCTATCAGAAATCACAGAAGTCAGGTCATGGCGATGAAAACAAAGTACCTGGAAAATGTTCTAACGGTGGATGAAACGGAAGCGCATGCGGCGGCAGAGGGCTTCGGCTGGCGACGGAGGCCGGTTTGCACAATCTTCAGCTGGATATTGATTCCACGTGGGGTTTTCGCCTTCTTCAACGGGAGGTGGAAGACCTATCGGAAACTGGGGTTATAATTCGTTTTGCAATAAATTCGTTGCCTACCCATGTAAGGAGTCTGCAAGAAGATCTGGTTTGGATAGAGGAGTGGCCTTCGGAGATGGAAGCTCTGTTGGAGTCGGAATGCTTGGCTAATCTATTTTAATTTTGTCTGTTTTATCTATTTCGTTTCAAAAAGAGAAAAAAAAAAAAAAAAACTTAAATATGATTTAATGGTTAGAAAAGTCTTTTGGGTAAGTTCGAATCTTTACCTATAATTATAATATATTCATCTAAATAAACAAACATGAATGTTTCAAAACAAAAACAAACATGAATAGTAGGAATTTATTTATATAACAAATATAAAATACAATGGGTCTTTAGGAATCAATCAACATTAACAAATCAAAAAATAAAAAATAAAATTTAAACCTCTGCAATCTAATTCTAAACTTGATTCTCTATCTTTTGAAATTAAATAAAAAATATAGTTTGGAATCAAATAAAAAATATAATAGAATCAATCATTCTATTACAGTGTTCATCAAGTTTTGTTGGTTTATCGTTGTTGCTGCTATCATTTTGATCTTATATGATCGTTTGATTTGGAGCTTCTCTCGATTCTAATTTTATATCTTTTTTCTATACATAACCTATATTTTAAGGTCAATTGTACTTATTGCAGGCCATAAATCTACTGGCCAGTGTGAGATAGTTTCCATACAAGTTAATAAAAAATAGTGGCCTTTTGGTCATAGAGATTTTTAAGAAGAGATGTCTTAGTTGAAGACCAATGGATCAGTGCTTCTAGTTAGTTGGAATAAACGTTATACAATTTTTATTGCTTCTACTTAGATTTTTCTTTTATTTATATTAAGAACTCGTATGAGAAACATTAATATATTAAAATTAAGTTTCCAATGTTTACGTTACTCAAATCGATGTTCTCGTTTTTGCTTCGTCAACCACTACTCACGCAAGTGTTTCTTTCTAAGACGAGACACTTCCCTATCGATGCATTTTTACATCCTACAGTGTCGGTAGTTCACTTAACCCCATTCATTTTCTACTTTTAACCTAGCCATGATACATCACTACTTTTATTCCTACATCAAAAAACCATTTTTAAAACCAACCCTAATTAACTTCAATAAAACAATAAACAAATTTGTTAAAGTGAAATCCAAACCAAACCTTGCAAAAGTCAAGCGTCCATACCCACTCCCCCAAGAGGGTGAAGATTCTCATTGGATTCGGATCCAACAAATTCCGGATAAGACCCGACCCGGATCCGTATTTTTCCGGGTCGACGGTGAAACAAAAAGGTAAAGTTGTGTTCTTTTTTCATTTTTCCACTCCCAACTCTCTCCAGTACCTACTACTCGCTTTTACGCCCACAGGGAGCCGGTAATTCTCCTCCCGGCTCTTTTCGGGACTCCGCCACCGCCATTTTTTCCAATTTAGGGCCCCCACACCCTTCAATTTCCCGGCCGATCGGCTCCCAGAACCATGTCCGGGTGCTCCCACTGCTGATTTCGAAGCTCATGGTTGTGTAATTCCACGCTACACGGAGTTGTTCAATGGGTTCGTCTTCTTCAGGTGTGTCCCCTTTGAACTGGGTCGTTTTCTGTTTGTTTGGCTAGGAGAAAAATGGGTTTCTTTTACTGTCTGTTTTCTGCTTTGTGAAGCTCGATTTTGGTGGTATGTGGTTGGTTGAGCTCTTCTTATTCTTTTTCTGAAATTATTTTGCGCGTGGGAGTCCTGTTTCTCATGGATTAGTCATTCGAAGGTGCTTGGAATGTGAATTTGTCAGAGCTCTAAAAGGTTGCCATGTGTTAGGAGAGAGATTCATGTGTTAGTTCTGATTGTTTAGGGTTTCTGAATTGTGATTTTTCTGCATTAATTTGTTATCTGTTTATGTCGATCGGGAATTTGTTAAGGATTGACATATTGAATAACGGTCATATTTTAGAGATACTGCATAATGCGTGTTGTATGGTTTTATGTTGTAATATGTACATGATGTGTAGCATGGGAATATTAACCTTTTAAACTCGAAATTTTTTTAAGAAAATAACTTTTTGATCTTCACATTGAATGGACAGCATTCCTTTTAAAACCTACAATACAATTTGAATAGTCCACTCCATCAGATTGTGAAGTTCAGATTTTGCAGTTGCATTAAGAAAGTAATTCCTTTTGTGTGCTGGGTGTTTGGAATGGCATCTATAACATTTTGGTTCTTGTGTTGAACTCCATAAGATTGGTTGATGTTTTCTGCAAAAAGATTGCTATATGAGGCTGGAAAGTATAACTATTGAATTGTATATATGGATAATATTTGGAAATCTTAGCTGGTATGGTAATAGGTGAACGTAAACTTAAAATGGCTGTTATTTGTTTTCCTTTTATTGTTGGCTTTATCTTGTGTATACGGTTTCTTGTCTAATTTAGAAGAATCCTCCGCTTGAAGGTTGTACTGGCATATTTAATATGCTATAGAGCTGTTTCCACGAACTCAACACATTACAGTTGGGGATTTTGCGTATGTAATGTTTCCTGAAGGCTAATGGAATAATGAGCTGCTCTTATACTGTAAGCTATCCGAATGGTAGGTCTGCTTTCCTTGAAACATTATTCAATGTGTAGCATAGCTGTAGACATAGGGGGTTAGTGGTGTACTAAAATGGAGTACACTATACCTGTTTAACTAATTACATTGTAAATTTTATTCTTCAGTGCTTTATTCTTTTCTCAAGCGTGGCTAAAATTTAATATTTGGAACGCTGCCATAGCCTTTTTGTGTCTGGCATTTTTCATGTAAAAATTCAATCATCTTTAGTACTACCTAGGTCCTTTGCATTGCTATTGTGCTTCCTCAAATTTAGTATTGACTTTTATAAAAGATATATACCCATTTTGATAAACTATAAACTAGTTGGAAGTTTTGTAAGGTTTGCTGTTTGGTGAACTACGTTTGATGTAGAATTGGTTGGAGGAATTTCTCAAAGATTTTTTTGTAGTTACCGTTCTATTCTATCAATTTTGACCAATGTTGCAATTTTTTTTATGCTTACACCTTTAGGCTCACCTTGGGACGTGACTCAATTCTTGTCTCTTATGGTTAAAAAGACCATCTTTAACACATTTTACACTAATTATGAATATAATATCAAACTGTTAAATTGCATAAAATCAATAAATTTAAGCTTTTGGATTATGGCATTTGTGTGGCAATATAATATTGCACTAGAATTTGACAAGGACAATCTAAACATTTCATGATTCCATCTCGTGTTAAGGAATACATAATTCCTCGGTATAGTGGCATATGCACTGCTGAATGCTGGTTGTTACCTTATTGCAGGTAATATGTGCCACTGGTTACTATTGTTTGTCATCTGTATATCCAATTTTCATGATGGAGTTGCCTTACCAACTGTCGTTCAGCATAAACTTGTTTCTTCCACAAGGGAGCAGGCTCAGTCACCTAGTACTAGTAGTGTGGTTTTTGATCCTATACAGATATCACCTGCAGTTATCCCTCAATACCCATATCCCAGTGAATCTTTGCCTCCAATGTATCCAACTTTTCCTACCAGATATGACCCAGTTTTAACTGGAAGATGTCCTGTAAATTTCTCCGCTATATCAAATGTCATGGACAAAACAGCATCAGATTGTTCGCAGCCTATGGCAGCACTTGTAGGAAATGTTATTTGCTGCCCACAACTAAGTAGCCTGCTCCATATCTTCCAGGGTTTCTATGGATTAACTTCTGATCAGTTGGTTCTGCAAGATGCAGTTGCTAATGATTGTTTTTCAGATATCATTAGTATCTTAGCCAGCAGAGGAGCCAATGAGACGATACCCTCTCTTTGCTCTGTAAAATCTTCCAATCTCACTGGTGGGTCATGTCCAGTGACGGATGTCGTGACATTTGAAAAATCAGTTAATGTTAGCAAATTATTGGATGCATGTGATACTGTTGATCCTCTCAAGGAGTGTTGTAGACCAATATGTCAGCCTGCTATCATGGAGGCTGCACTTCAGATATCTGGAAGGCAATTTTCTACTGATACAAGCACTAATGTGGGAGGGGGGCCTAATCATATTGATTCACTAAATGATTGTAAAAGGGTCGTTTATTCATATATTTCTAGGAAACTCTCCTCAGATGCTGCCAACACTGCATTTCGAATATTATCTGCCTGCAAAGTTAACAAAGGTTTGATGTTTATCAGTGTTATCTATTTGATCTTTATTTCTCCACTGGGGTTCTTCTATATATTTATTTGACCAGATAATTTTTAAGTATTTGAATTCCATTTTATGGGATGTACAATGTAAGAGTAGAGAAAATTTCTGCATATTTCTCACACCTGCAATCTGTCAAATTTTTGGTGGTAACATATTTAATTTTTTTTTTTTAAAGACTTTCTTGGAAATGAAGCGTATGGTAATATATCGAGTAGTTCTTCTATTTTATTTGATTAATGCAATGCATGTGATCCAGTTTATGCGCTTTATGTTTTGAATTATTAATATCAACTAATATTTGTTGGTTGTGCCTTTTTTTTACCGTTATTAGATATGTCGTTCTTAAATAGAGATTATCAAACAGAACAATGAGAGTTTGACCCTTAAACACGAGCTGTGGCAGAAGCTCCCTTTTCTCTGTAATTCTAAATATTCGTGTAAAGAGTTGATTTTCGTTACTTTTAGATACAGTATATAGGTTGAACAATTATTTCTTTTATTGTTCTTTAATTCTTCTCAAAAGGAAAAACGAAAAAGAAAGAAAAGCACAATTAAAGCATGGACCTGGATATTTCTTTGGCTGTTTAGAGAAATGTACATCCATAGAGCAACCTGTTATGTGTCCCGAATTCAGCTGATTGACCATTTTCTTATAATCTTCTTCCCCTTTCCTTCTCACAGAATCTGCATGTCAAAGTTTAAACTATCACTTTACCTTCCTTTATTTACTACTCCCTGCTTTCTTATCTGAAATGAGTATTGTCTGTGCACTGTGCAGTTTGTCCTTTGGATTTCGAGCAGCCTGCAGAAGTAATTAAAGATTGCCGCAACGTTGCTGCTCCTAGTCCTTCATGCTGCAGCTCATTAAATACTTACATCGCAGGGGTCCAAAAGCAGATGTTAATTACAAACAAACAAGCTATAATCTGTGCAACAATGTTTGGATCCATGTTGCGAAAAGGTGGGGTTATGGCAAATGTTTATGAGCTGTGTGATGTTGACTTGAAAGATTTCAGCATCCAAGGTAATAATGGTACTACATTGCTAATCTGATTTTCCTCCATCATCACTTCTAGTTATCTAACGTTCCAATTTATTATGTGCAACTGCATGGCATCTGGAATACAGCCTACGGACAGCAAGGTTTGCCATTCTGCTCCGTTTTGCAACTTTTTTCTTATTTTTGTTATTTATCATCTCTCTCTCTCTCTCTCTCTCTCTCTCTCTCTCAATGAACCTATGAATGGCTTTGCTTGTTGTTTCCATTATTCAGTTAAACTTATTGCACTTAAGCTTTGGCAGGAAATTAGTGATGTAGCAGTTAGCAAAATCTCCTCCTCCCTAACATGCATTACATCATGTTGGTTATTCTTTCATTTTTCTCAATGAAAGTGAGGTTTTTCATAATTAATAAGATTGCTGGTTCTTGCCGAGATCAGAAAATGTGAAGTTCAGAAATATTTCCTTGTAAACTTGTATTGAGCCAAGAGATTTCATAAAAAGGAGAAATTCATCAGAGATACAATTGAATGAAACTGCCATTAATAAAAGGCACATCGTAGGGCACCCCATTCCTCATCTGAAGTAATATTTGAAAGATTGAATCTTCAATCTTTTTTTTCTTTTGTTGCTTTTTGGCTCCGTTTGGCTTGGACTTTCTTTGTTTGTAGTTCCCTCGTGAAGTTAAAGTTGTTCTTTTCATAAAAAAGTATTTGAAAGATTGAATGGCGTAAAAGCTAATTAAATGTTAGGGAATTTGTGGTTGTGCTTCAATGCATTTCAATGGAGTCACACTATCTGCTTCTGTTTTTTTAATCAAATTTTAAGGGATTATTGCATTGCAAAAATGTGTGTTGAAAATTTATGTCTTGATCCTATTCCGAATTTCAGGATGTCTTCTTCGCAGCCTGCCTTCGGATGTGGTATTCGATAACTCAACAGGCTTTAGTTTTACTTGTGATTTGACTGATAACATTGCAGCACCATGGCCTTCATCATCCTCAATTTCGACATTGTCTCTCTGTGCGCCTGGTAATTGATTGAAAGAGATTTATTTTACCATGTTGCTTATTTTCACCTATAAGTTTGTCAAGTCGGTTAGTTCGACATTGTCTCTGACTTCTCTTACTTGCACAGAGATGTCATTGCCTGCACTACCAACATCAGAGACTAAGAAAAACCATGGTGGGTGCCATTGTTATAGGGAGTTTTTCTTTGTGAACTATTGTGTTTATGATAAGCTAAAAGAGGGGGAGACTGGCTGCTGCAAAATAAAAGAGAAAAAGGAATTTAGGGTTTTATAAATTTATATATATAACTCGGTTCATTTCAGATTTTTTCGATTTCTTTTATAAAATGACTGAACCAAACCAAAATTTTTTTGGTTTTCTCAAATCTAAAACCTGGAACTTCAATTTTTCATCATGTGGAGAAGGATAGGATACAAAGTAGTTAGAGCCATACTTTGTCTCAGAGGAATGTGAAGGTTATCTTGTCTAGCAATAAAATTGCAATGGCCTTGATTTCAAATATTCCTGCTCCTCTAGGAAGATCCTTTCATCTGTTTTGATCTTAAAATAATAAAAAGGTAAAAACACCTAAAAGCATTTCAAAGTGGCTCTTAGAGAGGCACTTAAATAATGCTTCTTTCAAGTACTTCACTTCTCTCGAAACTTATCCCAAACTCACTATCGAAAAATTTTGAGCTTAGGATGACTTTGGAGAATAGAGCCGTTTCAAAAGTGTTTTCAACGTTTTAAAAGTCATACCAAACTCACTCAGTGTTTGAGATTTAGGGGAATGCTATGCTTGTTGTTTAGAATTTGGAGATTTGATTTGATTGTGTTAGTTGCTTACATTTCTCATTTTGATGGTAATGGCTGAGTTAGTTTGTGTGAAATGGTATTAATGTGCAGGCCAGCGTGAGGAAGGATTGGATTTCCCAATGCCCATTTTTTTATTTTTTATTATGGTCAGTGCATTTTTGTACTGAGTTAGATTTAGATGATGATGATGTTCTGTGTTGTTCAATTCTGGGGGCATCTTTGGGAACTTTACAATGGATTTTTGTATGTATATTTTGAGTCTCTTGTGTATAGTAGTAGCTCTTTCTTCTTCTCTTCTCTCTCTCTTCCCTCTCTTGAAGAGGGTTGTGTTGTTGCAGACTGCAGGTTATAAATATCATCCATTTTTGAAGAGTACCATCTAAATCTCGTTTTCTGTGGTAAAGACGTTTTGATGAGATCTGGTACATTAGTGTTGGTATAATCATGTACCTACAAATATCTTCAACTGATTTTGTTGAAAACAATTTTTCTGACTTTTGGAAATTTATGATTTTAGGTGAAGAAATCAAAGGTATGTGTTTAGTAATGCATATGTTTCTTGTTTTCGTTTTTCATTTTTAAAACATCTTTTAAATTATATATATCCTATTTTCTCAAAAGTTTAAATAAATGAAATTGTGGAATATAAATATAAATCTTAATGATATTTATGTCTGAATGTAAACTTTGGTTTGGAAGCTAACCGACATATCCTCCGGTCAAGAAGATTGAGCCTTTGGCTTTGGATTTGTGAACAAATAAGATTGTGCTTGGTGATTTGAAAATAAGGAATTTAATGAAATATTTTTTAAAATGGATTTGAAAATTGAATATCAATCTAAAATATTATTTTGTTACTTATATAGGTAGTTATCAATTAAATATTTAGTTTAGACTAAAATTTTATTAATAATAGAGTGAAATGTTATTAATAATAGGATAATTGCAGTAAAATATGTATTTTAAAAAATGTCACAACCTTTTTAAAAATTCAAAAATTTTATTTTTTAACTTTTTATTATTTTGATTGTACCCTTACGATATCTGATGTCTCATGTAGATCTGTATCATATACATTATCAGATGTATGTATTATACTTCTAATATATATATCTGATATAACTCTAATTTAAGATATATTAAATATATTTGTAACTAATATAAAAAAGTATAAGGTAAAAAAGTATAAGGTAACTAATATAACACACATGTATCATAATTATATTAGTAGATATCATTGTCATATCAGAGGTATATCAGTGGTAAATTAGAAGCATATTAAGTATATATCAAATATATATCAGTGTTATATTAGTGGTAAATTATATAACCATATATAAAAGGTTATATAAGTAGATATCGTAGTTACATTAGTAGTATATCATTAATTAGAGACACATCAAGTATATATCACAGATATATAAATGTTGTATCGACGTGGTAAATCAATGGTTATCATACGTATATCAGTTGTAAGCCATGTTAAAAGTTTAGTAGATATCATAATTATATCAGTAGTAAATCAATTGTATATCATTATTATATCAGTGGTATATCAGAAACATATATCAGCAGTCAGATATATTGCAGATATATTACATATGTATAYCAGATATATTGCCGAGTAAAGTTGTAATTTTAAAATTGAACCTCCGTTTTTTGTTGAAAAAAATGTTATATTTGAAAAATCTAAATGTGGTTGCTATTTTACTTATTTTCCTAAATATTTTCGACATATTTGCAACAAGTATCTTAACATATATGTTATAAATTTTATATAATTATTTTTCAGAAAATATTATATAATTTAAATATATTATGTTTTATACCTCTTATATTAATAAAAATGAAATCAATTTATAACCTGAAATAATATATAGTTTTTATTTTTTTAATGTAATTCTAAGTTTTAAAGTTTTAAATTCAAACTCTAAATAAAAATGAGGGTTTAGATAATAGAATCTAAAAAACAGTTTTAAAAAATAAATATGTGAAATAGATATTTGATTAAGTGAATCTAAAACTAAAAAAACAACACTAAAATTCTTTACAAATTTAATCTTCCATATTCTAGTTTTTTTTAATAATCTTTTAGTTAGAATATATGTATATTAAACAAGAGTAGTTCGAAGGCCAAAATTTTAAATGTCGATAAAGATAGAAATGTCTATCAATAGATATTTCAGAAAAATTATAAATAAAAAAATTCATAACAAATAAACATATTTAATATAAATATCATGTACCAAGTTGGACCAAGCTGGACCAAGTTGTTTTTAAAATAATCCTGAAAAAGAAAAACAAGTAGAAATAGCTAATAAGTTAATATTGTCTTGAACAAAAAAAAAGGCTTGAATTTTAATAGTCTCCAATAACATGTAATTTTTGTCTTTTTAAACGTGTAATTTTATTATTTGTCATTCATTGAAATTCGTTCTATTATCAATTATCATCGCTTTGAGCACTATAATATTAGTTCAAATTAAAAATTTCTTACTGAAAGTATAGAAATGCAGAAATATGTATCAATATTCAAACGCATTTAAAAAATTAATTAATAAAACATTTAAAATTACATTACAACAATATCATAAATATCTAATATTTTTGAATTCAAATTGAACGTCAATATCAATATCAATCTAATAGTTAGTTTATTTATATAAAAATCTAAAAATGGAGTTACAATTAAATTAAACTAATTTACAAATAATAGTTATTATATTATAAGTATAAGCATCTCTTATGATTGGAGAGGCATTTCTTAACATAATACAGAATTTCTTGTAGTTATTTGAAGTTATATTTTATTAAATCATTTAAAGCTCTCATTTTAAGTC